GCCGCCAATTTTAACATTTGCCGCCAATCTTAAAAAATCAATAAAATTTCATAATAGCCACGAAACCAGATCAAAAACACAAAAAAATATAAAAAATCATTATTTTAATACGGCGCACGAACTTCTTCCTCAACCTAATATATATATGTGATGTGAAAACGATGTTTCCTCATTGAACCGTCCACAATGAAGCGTGATTCACCAGAAACGGAGATTCCAAAAGAGGTCCCAGGGACTCGGAAGTCCCGCCCGGCCTCGAGGCCGTGCATTCCCTTCCCTCACAAAAAATGTATCATAGGTTGACCCATAGGTTAAAATGGAACGACCTAGATCGGTGCCTCCATTAACCTAGGTTACCCCATGTTAATAAAGCTCCATTTTCACCCACGGTACACAGTTTTTGTACGGGTCATAGCCCTGCAAAATGCGAGGGGAAGATGTGTGAATCCTGGGTCCCGCCAGGGCCGAAAGAGTTACACCCGCGCCGGTAACCTTCTCTTTCCCGAAACGCTGAAAAAGAATCCTCGAGTCCCGTTCTCCCTTTGGTAAAAATCCCCATCGCGCTCCGCGAGCAGCCAGCAAATAGACGAAACGAACCGAGGACGTCGCGAGGAAGCCCGTTCTGGGATCGGTTGTAGGATGACGTCAGGGGGAAGTCGTTCTGGGATTGGTCGCAGGATGACGTCAGGGGGAAGCCGTTCTGGGATTGGTCGCAGGATGACGTCAGGGGGGGTAGGGGAGGGGGGAAGGGGGAGGGATGTGCCGTTTCCAGATGGACAGCATTCACGGTTTCTCGTTTGTTGGAGGATCGGATCCTGTGGCCCTTGACCCCGACGGGGGTGGACAGGGACCTGGAGATGCTCCCTCAGGTCCTCAACAAGCGGGGTTACGCCACGCACGCCATCGGCAAGTCAGTACCTTCTCTCTCTCTCTCTCTCTCTCGCTTTCTCTCGGAGTGAAAAGAAGTGAATGGTTTAGGTGGCACTTGGGGTTCTGCAATGAGGGGTTCCTGCCGACTCGGCGAGGGTTCCAGTCCTTCTACGGGTTCTACACGGGATCCGAGGATTACTACGCGCACACTCGATCTTACAGTAAGTTTCTCGTTTCTTCGTCGACCTCCGATGACCTCCGATGATCTCTGATGACCTCCGGACAGAGCCGTGCAGTCACGAGGGCTTGGACTTCTGGGACGGGGAGCGGCCGGCCCGGGGCGTTCGAGGCGTTTATTCCACCGTGAGTTTCCTAAATTTTGCGATTTTGTCCGGATAATCCGATTAATCCTCAGGCTTGCAGGGATTACCGGATCCGTCCGACGACGTGGAGCATTTTCATCTCCGCCACCCCGCAAAAAAAAAGAAGCCAAATTTTTGGCAGATGCCGATGAGATCGCCTGAATTATTATTTTCCTCGTTTTGTAAATCGAATACTAAATTTAAATTTAAATGTAATTAAATCAAAATTTTTTAAATGTGATGAAATTTACTTGAAATATCCATCCTTCAAAACCTGCATGAGGACTTTCGCCGGAATCCCTGTCAGATCACCTCGAAACCCATTCCGACGGGAATCCAGCGAATTTAATCCAACAGCAATCGAGTCTATTTTCGTTGTCGTTACTTCGTTATCGATCGTTATTTCGTTATCGATCGTTATTTCGCGGCGCTGCTCCCGGCTCGACGCCAAGTGTGGAATTGATGGGGAAAAGTTACATAAGATGCCGGAGAAGATAGATAATATTAAAATTTGCATAATTAACATAAGACCGAGAGGGTGAGAATAAGTCTTGCGCAATGGTCGACAATTAATACGAATCGAAATTTGAAATTCAGCTATAAAAAATTTACAAATTGCAAATTGACACAGAATTTTCACGCCATAGCAAACGAAAAGTGTTTTTCCTGTCGGTCGCATGCGCCGTTCGCGTGCCCGGAGCGAGGCGAAGCGAGAGGCGATTCGCGTCGCCTCGCGTGGCGGGGCGTTCCGCGCCGAGCCGCGAGGAGAATTTTCAGGCGATTCGCGTCGCCGTCCTTTTCGCGTTTTCACGGATCGCCACGCGAGTGGTTCGGGTTAACCGCTTTTCATCATTCTGTTGGTTCGATTCCGGTTCAGCCACTTTTTTCTTTAACTTTTTTTTTTCTCTCGGTCATTTCCACGGTACCGGTACTATCGGTCAGTTTTTTTTTACGGTTACCGGTTCGTTCAAGTGAGATAATTTCGTGACATTCGAATGCTGCAACGATTTGTATGTCACGTTAGGTCAGCAGGATTTTCTTTCCGCCATTCAATGTTACGAAGAGCGTCCAAGAGAAAAATTTGAGGGAAAAAAAAAAGAGAAATGAATCCAGATGTCGTTGATGATTTGGTTTGCTTCCGGTTTCCTTCCTGACAGAAGTAAATCGATTTCGTTAATTCGAACGCGGTTACCAGTCCAGAGGGAGTCACCCCGTATTCCAAAAAAGCTCTTAATATTGCAAATTCACTTTCTCTTTTTAGAGTCTTCGTCGTTCATTGATTTATTTCCTCGTTTCCCTATTAAGTAACTTTTTTTTTTAGCCCTCAGTTTTAAGGTTCCCCGTCTCCCTGTAAGTTTCAATCAAGGCCAGCAAAACCGAAACCATGGCAGTTTGTTTTTTTCTGGGTGCATTTCACTTCTCTACATTTCAAGTAGTGTCCGCAATCCTCGTCGATGCAACATGACTCCTTGGCAAGGCTTCTCCCTTTGCCCCGTCAGAATTTTCCCCGACCGAATCGAAAGTCAATCCGAGCACTGCACGACAGCCGATGGAGGAAAACCTGTTCGCACTCAGGACTTGCTGAGGAGAAGGGCGGTGGAGATCATCGAGGGGCACGACCCGTCCAGACCGCTCTTCCTTTACCTGGCCTTTCAGTCGCCCCACGCGCCGCTTCAAGCGCCGGAGGAGTACGTGGAGAGGTATTCGTACGTCGAGGATCCGAACCGGAGGAAGTACCTGGGGATGGTCACGGCGATGGACGATGCCGTCGGCTCCGTCGTGGATTCCTTGAAGAAGGCTGGCCTCTGGAACGACACCGTCTTCGTCTTCACCACGGACGTGAGTCCCGGAGAGAAGTCGGTCGTTTTTTTTTCTTCAGGTTTTTCAGGATCTTTCCGTCGCAGAATGGGGGTCAGCCCCTGAGAGGCGGAAATAACTTCCCGTTGCGAGGGGCCAAGAACACTCTTTGGGAAGGTGGCACCCGAGCAGTTGCCTTCGTCTCGTCCGTACTCATCCCCAAGAGCTACGTGAATCGACGGTAACGACTGTGAAGTTAAGTGAAAAATTGAGCATTCGATTTTGTATTTTAAGACCAGGTTCTCCATTTCTACCAGATTGATTCATGCCGTGGACTGGTTCCCAACTCTGGTCCATTTGGCAGGAGGAGATTCCAACGGTTCCTCTATAGATGGGGTCAACCAATGGGAAGCTATAGCACACAACAAAGCGGCGATTCGCAAGGAGTTCGTCTATAATCTTCGCATGGAAGGAGACCTTCTCTCGGGTGCCATCAGGTAGTCCAAGTTCCTTAATCTTCATATCTACATGGACCGACCCCGCAGGTGTTTACGATGTTCGCACACTTGCACACAGGGTGGGGATTCACAAGCTGATCCTGGGAGACCCCGGAAAGCCCGACAACTGGATCCCTCCTCCGAGACGCAAATATAGAAAACTACCCAGGACTGCCATCACAAAGATTCTCAACTCTCCTGCCATTCTGATGAGATTTGTGCAACAGTGCTGCACCATTCCTGTTGAAATTATATTTCAGATCTATACATCCCAAATTATCACTTCAGTT